AAGCAACCCATCCCCAAATGTTCTTGATGCTCTTGCAGACATCAATGGGCGCCTCGTTCTGCTCAAACACGAGATCGCAGACCTGGTTCTTGGCGGGGGTGACCCAGCAGGCGTAGTTGCCGTCGAAATCGATGCAGATGGTGGCGGCGAAGGCGCCGCCGCCGCCGCCCTGGTGGATCTGGCAGTTCTGGTTGAGGGTGGTGACGACCTGGAGGTCGCGGGACTGCCACTTCCAGTTGGCGTTGTCGACGCTCTCGAAGCGAAAGCCCGTGTTGGACTTGCGGGTCTCCGGGTCGAGGGCCTGGGTGCAGTAGTCTGCGGCGACGAAGGAGGCGCCGAGGAGGATGGTGGGGAAGAGGGTGGAGAATTGCATCTGTGGGAGATGGGATGGTCAGCCTTTTGGTGATCTGAGGCGGGGACAGTTGGGGCGAGGGCTTTTATCCTACCTTTGCGGTGTTGAGTTGAAGAAGTTGGGGATGTAAGTGATTGGAATGGGTGTCAGAGACTGTAAAAGAAAGTGATGATGAGATAGTGACTGTGATAGTGAGAGACTGTAAGATGCAGTGTGAGCTGTGTGATGAGGGAGCTTTTGACCAAGTTACGGCGGCAATCTTGTCAATACTTATACTCTTCAAATGAAGGCATCTCGACCATATACATCTTGGCATCACCGCATCAAGTCGTGTAAGTCATTTGCGAATCCGACAATGCCCCCAAAATAACACTCTGTTTTGAGTTGAGTGAGATTACATCTCAGAGTCCTGGACTGAGGTCTTCGCCCCCCGAGTCACTTGTTCACTGCCCCAATCAAAAAGAAGAAAGTAAACTACAGTTTTGGATATTTCGTCCTCATTCACCGAGTCAAGCAAAGGCTTGGGGGAGCCTCGAGAGGCGCAAAAGTCAAATTGATTATAGTATTTGAGTTGAGAAGGATTACTGAACAACCCGTTTGAATAGCGTAAGGTCCCTCGCCCACAAAATAGATTCTGCATAATGCATCACCCGCCAGACGCAAGCCGCGGAGTCGGGATTTTACCCCACTATTTAATAACGGACGGAAGACGGACTTTTTAGATACTCGGCGATGATGGAACGTGCTTGGATCCATAGGTAGGGCAGTGAGGGTGCACGATCGGGGGCGAAAAAATGATTAGAAGAGTTGTACGTGTAAGAAAACCCTCCCTAATTCATAGCCTAGTTGCGAGAGAAGATGCCGTGCCAAGATCTCAACACCTAGTACTCATGTGTTCCAATCTAATAGACTCAAGGCGCCTGCTCTAATTTACAACCCAGCACCCGACGAAAAATCATAGTCACCATGTCTCTAGCCTCCTGCTCGCCGACCTGTACAGGACCGTCACCCTGATCCCACATAATCTCCGTAATTTCCGCCCCGACGTCAGCCCCCTCTCCCGCCGCGTCCGCGGGTCCGGGCCCATCCGAAACCGCTCGGGTCGATGCCCTGATCTGAAACTGCTCGTGGCCGGTCCAACTCCGGTACACATGGGCCACCATCGTGCCCTGCGCATCTGGCCCGTCCGAACGACTCATCCAGCGATCGTCCATCGACGTCGGCTGGTAGCCGAGGAGGAGCTTGGCGGCGTCTGTTCCTGAGATACATAGGTGCCAGGCCGCCGTGGCGGGATTGCCGATGGGATGCAGGTCGCCCCAGTTGGAGCCGGTGACGCGTTTGGATGTTGACTCGCTGGGCGGCGGAGGGGAGGAAATGGAAGTTGAAGCGTTGCCCATGATGAAGAGGTAGAGTTGAGAGAGAAAGATAGGATACGCTGGGTACGTTCTGGATGGTTTGGTGGATTGAAGGAAATTGGGATCGTGCAATGGAGTTACTTGATTTTGTATCGATGTGATGTGTAAGTTTGGAGCTATTTGGAATGGGGATATTGTAAAGATGAACGTGTATTGGACCCAGTCTTTGTCTGCTGTTCGGCCCGATGCATACGAGGTCTTTGTAAGTTGGCGATCCCAGCATCAGCCTCAGGAGGTTCCTGAGATTTTCTTATTTGGGCATTTAAGACTCCATCTGGGATGGACATGCGCAGCCTTAAACCCTATTTTGTCTTTGTACGGGTCATTCGGGCTTCATCGGAGACCTGAACAATATCAGATGAATTATCGGGGTCTTGGCAGTGTACCACGAACATTATGTGATCGCCACATTGTCAAGGTTGGCTTGTCATGACACTCGGAGGTCATTGTTCTAGAAGGGAGTTGTTCCTTTGTTCTTCCAGCAGTACCCGAAGCTGTCTCCTTCCTCGACTTGGGTCTTGCCATTATAGATTATATTGTTCATTCTCCAACTTTATCGGGATGGACAAGTGCGGTTTTACAAATCACTCCGATTCCGTCTCATAACCGACTCCGGCTCCGTCGGTTTCGGATTCCATCGCCCGCAGCAGAGTACAAGCTGACAACCAATTAGAATAGTCTTGGCAAAGATGTGAAGAGCATTGTAAGAATACGAATACCCGTAAAGCCTCTGAACTCTTTGTATACAGCCAATATATTTGTTTTTTTATGCGCCTGGATTCATACTAGACTGGTCTCGACATGACTCTCCAAAGTTGAAGCCATCGTGTAAGTGTCAGCTGTTCCACGCGAAACAGCACTTCATTGAACGCCTTGCGGAAATACCGGATTCCGCGACCTGTACCTACTAGATTTCTTGTCAAGCGGGGTTGACTTGTAAGATCAAGACTCAAGATATAAACCAGTCAAAATCCGTAGTCATGTCCAAATCGGAATCAGTACAGATCCAGTCCTCTGACCTCACACTCTCTTACAATACAATCGTTTGAACAACAATTTCACATTCTTTTGAACCGTCTCCCCTTATCATTAAACAATGGCTAGACAACAACCTCTTATGCTTGGGCTGACGCTCATTGCTTTCTGGGCCTTCCTCTGCAACGGTCTCGACCTCTACCGCGCAGATTCGAGAAACTATGCCACCATCCAGGCCTCCAAGGGCTTCTTGCCAAAGGGTCAATCCACCTTTGGCGTCGCCGCCCCGGACACCAGCCTGTGGAACCACGTCAAAGGAGCCCCCAGCGGCGCCAGCAAGGACGAGGACGGCTACGTGTCCACGACCTCGGACCCCAAGCTGGCCGAGTCCTGGGTCAGCCGATTCCTGGGCGGCAACGGCTTCATCTACCGCATCCACTCGGCTCCCAACATGATTGACTGCCAGGCCACCCTCCAAAAGTACAACCCGTACCCCGAAGAGGCCGAGTTCGCCGCCCTCGGAGGCATCAAGGACAACCAGATCATCGGCTGGACCCCCGTCCGCGGCGGCGTCAAGGGCAAGGAGGAGCTGAACCCCTTTTACCAGGGCAACATCTACAGCAACATGGGCACCGGCGGCGCGCAGTACAAGCTCGCCGCATTCCCGCCCAACCACCAGGCCTGGGGCGAGGCCCCTTGGTCGCAGTTCGCCTCGTGCACGCGCAGACGTTCCGCCAGGGACCTCTTCCAGATCGAGAAGCGCGCTTGCTCCGCGTCCAAGAGCAACGTCGACTACGCCAAGGAGTACCTCGAGTACGTCGAGGCCGTCTGCCCTGGCTGCCAGTAGTGTCATCAGTCACTACGATAGATTCTCTCGGCTGGCTCAAAGCACGAAATCGACTTGGAATTGGAAATGGACATATTCGTCGTCTGTTTCTGGCCAATACTTTCTGGACTTTCTGGACAACAAGACTTCCTTGATTCTTGGATATTGATTTACTATCTGTATATCCCTTGGACAGCTTGTCGCGCAAAGAATGTTGTTAGACTAAATAGGCGACATGTCTTGACAATTCAACATACAGAGAATATACTTGCATCTTTTGCATTCTTATCCCCAAGTCGGTACGAGCACTTTTCCATCCAGGAACTGTCTTCGGGCAGCATATGCCCTGAACAGTGTAAGCCTGAAACAATTGTAGTTTTGTAGTCGTCTGGCAACAGCAAGAGTAAGTAAGACTAGTGCAACATATGACTTGGTTGTAGTTTCTTAGCACATGCTACTGTTCATTCCTTGCTGCCATATGTAAAATTCGTGAACTTGAAGTGTTGCACGGGAATTGGAATTGAGTTGACAGAACTAAAACATGAATCATGGGTCAAGTAATTCAAAACGCCGAATACTTAGAAATAAGAGTATAGCCTGGATGGCTTAGTGGGCAAAGCTCTCAGTAGGTCGCAATGCTAGCAAGCTTTCATCGTCACTTAGGATTCCACTTTCCAAGAAAAATCATGCCTCTGTCTGCATGGTGGTCCTGCGATCCGGTCTGTGTTTTTAATGCTAGACTGCGATCAAGAGTACCTAGTCGACTATCATCGCCTTTTCTTTCTTCCTCATAGTTGGTGCTTCGACTTGAAGTTCTCTTGTATGTAGTTCCCAACGGTTATGCGGCTAAGAAGCTCCACTCAAGGGATCTACAATGCAGTAGCAAATTGCGCAAGCAAAAGCTTCAACAAGAAACTTGAGAGCAGTCAACTCCCTATTACGTACCAAATTGACAGCTCAGTCTGTTCGCTAAAAAAAAAAAAAAAAAGAACTACACCCAAACCATTAAGCGATACGTTAGTGAAATTGCCCATCGAGTAGTTGCCGAAGCCTTTGCCGGGGGGCCATGACTCACTTGCGAATAGAAGCGAAGAGCTGTGGGGCTCTGCAATGTCTCAACCTTTCAACCCGTTTTTGATGTCGAACACGTCAGACTAGCGAAGGGCGCATCTTGAAATATTTCAAGCATACGGATGGTTTCCTAAATTCAATGGTGTTTGTTAATTTGCATTTTTGTTTTCGCTGCCAATTGGCTCTTCTTAGTATTTTAGTCGCGATCATCGTCTGAGAGAGCCCCTAGTTGGTCAACTCTCTCCAAGTGTCGACTCAACCCCCGCCCTCCTTCTTTAGACAATAATGGCGTCGAATAAGGACGAGTCAATATCAAACAACCGTTTGGAAGCTGGTCCTCCGGAACAGAACGACACACAATATGATCATGGCAAAGGGTAGGCTAAAGGTCATTGCTCCCTGTTGCGATCACCACACCAATCCCACCCTGATTCGAAGACATAGGCTGACCTCACCTAGCCGTTATATCAGCGTTGTTCTTGCTGCCTTCATGATAAGTTTCATGACGGGTGGCCTGCAGTTCGGCTTCGGCATCTATCAGGCGCACTACGAGACGATGGCTCTACAGGACAACACCCCATTCACCGGCGCCACAGCCGCCCGGCTCGACCTCATCGGAACCCTCGCGATCTCAATGATGACCATCTGCGCACCTGTCGTTGTGGCATGGTCGAAAACGATTGGCCCTCAGAAGGTCATGTGCGCCGGTGGTCTGCTTGTCGGAGTGGCCAACGTCCTGGCAAGCTTCGGTCGGGAGCTGTGGCATTACCAGATTACGCAGGGGTTCCTGATGGGAGTGGGATCTTGCCTCTCATTCGTTCCGTCAATGGTCGTCGTCCCGACTTGGTTCGACAAGCACAGAGCGCTGGCCATGGGTATCGTCTCTGCGGGCAGCGGCGTTGGCGGTCTAGTTTGGGCCCCGGTGCTCGTGGCATGTATTGAGAAGCTGGGCTACAAAAACACTCTTCGCATGACTGGTGCCCTCGGTGCTGCGGTTGTATGCGCAGGTGGGGCAGTTCTCACTTGGGAACCTGTAATGGCGGCCAAGATACGTCGTGAGAACGCGACGACATCTAGGCTCAAGAAGATGTTCAAGGTCCCGCTGCCTCCATTGAAGACTGTCACGCAACGCAAGTTCATTGCGCAAAGTCTCAGCATGTTCTGCCAGAGCGCGGCTTACTACACACCCGCATTTTTCTTTGCGTCGTACGCCAAGACCTTGGGATATTCTGACAGCGATGGTGCCAACCTGACTGCCGTCAACAACGCCTGCAACGCTGTGGGAAAGATTGCCATTGGGCTCGTGGCAGACCGCATCGGAAGACTCAACGCGTTGTTTCTCACGACTGTGATCTGTGCCGCCGTTACTCTCGGGCTATGGGTTCCTAGCATAGCCATAGGAATGGACCATGAGTCCGTGGCGAGGTCGCTACTCGTCAGCTTTACAGTCCTGTACGGCATTTTCGCGAGCGCATACGTCAGCCTGTTCCCACCGGCTCTGGTTGAGCTGTTCGGTATGGAATTGATGCCGCAGATTACGGGGATCATGTACATGATCATGGGAGTTGCTTCCATGATTGGAACGCCAGTGGCTGGTGCCCTGGTCAGAGGGCACGGTGAGATCAAGGAATCGGGTGACTACATGGGGATGGGTGTCATGGTGGGCACTTTAATGGCTGCAGCAGCCATCTTTGTGGCTTGGATGAGATTAGAGGCGACTGCAGATCGCGCTCAAGGGGGAAGGAAATGGGTTTGGAAACTGTAGGCATTGATGACTTGAGAATGGTGACGGTGCGGCTTTGAGCAGATACTCCTTTAATTGAACGGCGCTTGTCTCCTCATGACGGGAGTTACTCACTGATCCAAAAGCAAGAACGTTGTTCAATGGAATCAAAGGACCTCATGGCATGGTCCATGACAATGAAAGCAGCCTTTAGCTTGTCGCGTGACTGTGTTCAACTATACTGATTCCTGGTAAGCAGAACATCAATCAAGGACTACACTCACATGTCTAGACTCCATACCCTTGAGCTTCAACCTCAGTGGACCCTCACTCACGTTGACGGAAAGCGTTTGTAGCCGAGTTGCTCCACCGCTAGGAATATTAACCGTATATAGTATCTCTCAGGCAGCCATGTCGGAATACTCTTAGGCGAGCTGAGCAGATACCCGTGGAGCCTAATTGTGGACGGCTTTGCACTTTCACAGTCATTCATAGAGCCTTTATCTCCTGACGCCTGCGTTTGTTCTCAGCCGCTTGAACTATGCCTCAGGCAGTTCCCCCTTGCGAAGCAGCTTGTGGAAGATCTTGGGCGACGCTGGTGGAAGACAAACGCAGCAGGAACATCTTACAAAATCTTTCCTGGTCTCCAAAAACTTCCTCTCCTTCTTCCCCTCATACGACGTCTTCATTCTCAAGCTTCACGGAAAGACTCCTGACATCATCGCTGACCGCCATATTTTTCCCATTCCGACGCCATGGCACCTGCTCATTCCAAGACGCAGGCCACTGGCTTGGGAAACCGAAACCTCTTGGACAAGATCGACAAGTTGAGGGAACTTGGAATTTCCAGGCAGATCGCCCTCCCTCAGGTACCTGATGTTGTGATTCTGATGACGCCTCATGCTGACATATGCCGCACGCCAACAGCTCGTCGTCGTCGGAGACCAGTCCTCTGGAAAGTCCAGCGTTCTCGAGAGTCTCACTGGATACTATTTCCCTCGATCGGTCGGACTCTGCACACGTCATGCTACCGAGATCGTCTGTCGTCGAGAACATACACCCAGCATCGTCGTTACCATCCAGCCTGACGATGCCACCTCGAAGAGAGCCGACCTTGCTAGGTCGTTCCGACGTGAGCTGAAGGACCTCAAGGGCCAGGCGTTTGCGGATGTTCTCCGCGAGGTATGTTGCTTGCCTATCTCATTATTTGCTCTTCAATTCATCTTTGGTCCATTGTGTAGACTTCTTGCGTCGTCTTCTCTCTACAGGCTCCAAGTCATAGCCGAGTTTAGCTGACCGTTACCATAGGCTGCCGGTGTGATGGGTTTGAAGAGTGCCGAGAACTCCGAGGGTGCTGCCTTCAGCAAGGATGTTCTTCGCGTTGAGATTTGCGGCCCCGATGAGGAGCACTTGACAATCATTGACGTTCCTGGTAAGACCAATCAACACTGCTTATGGCGCCCACAGCTAACATGCGTCGCAAGGCATCTTTGAGAATACTCAAGATGGTATGAGATTACCTTTGTTGTCTCTCGCCTTTATTCTTCTTCTCTAATCTCGTACCCAGGCGTTTCGACAGTCAGAGACGTCGCTTTGGTCAAGTCTATGGTGAAAGATTACATCAAGGATTCCAGAACCATGTGAGCCCCCTTCTCGTCTTCCCAGGTCTATATGATTGATAACACGAAACACCTAGCATCCTTGCAGTCATCCCTTGCAACGTGGATGTCGCGACTCAGACTATTCTGACCTACGCCGCTGAAGCTGATCCCGAGGGCAAGCGCACTCTGGGTGTCCTCACCAAGCCTGATCTTGTAAGCGAGAACGCCACCCGAGAAGTAGCGATGGACCTCGTCCGAGGTAAGAGACGAGATATTCAGTTGGGCTACTACGTCGTCAAGAACCGAGGCGCCGACGACGCTTCCTCTAGCAAAGAGGATCGTGATGCAGACGAGAAGACGTTCTTTTCTGAAGAGCCCTGGTCCCGACTCGATAAGTCCCGCTTGGGAATCCCAGCGTTGCGCGTACGGCTGCGTGAACTGCTCATGGACCGGACCAAAAGCGAGTTCCCAAAGGTCAGACGTGAGATCAATGAGCGCCTTGCCGAGGCGAAGATCAAGCTCAAGGACCTCGGACAGCCCCGAAGCACCGCCGATGAGCAGCGAGCCTACCTCGGCAAGATTGTGAGTCGCTTCACCGAGTTGAAGAACTTTGGTCTGGATGCATACTACACTGGCGATCCCGTCTTCGACAAGCGTTCAGAACTCCGCCTCGCCACTCGAATTCGCGAAATGAATACGGCTTTCTCTTCCATGTTCTTCAAGAAAGCGCACACTCGCGATTTCGATGACCTTGTTGAGAAAAATTCGGATGACACGGAAGGCTCTCGGCCCGACGATGATGATGACCATGGCGACTCTCCACTTAAGGACTCTTCAGTGAACGACGAAGATGACAGCAGCGAGGATGAGGATGCTACAAGAGATGATCTCTACAGAATCGCATTTCCAGTGCCATCTGATGAGTACGGTGAACTCGATGCAATTCTGTCGGACCCTTGCAGATGCCCTGCGCCTCTAAAAGACAGCATTCTGAAGCATCTCGAGCAGCTGTATCTTAGATCCCGTGGCTTTGAGATGGGCACTGTGAGTAATCACTGATATCTAGTTGTCCCATGCGTAATAAACTAACAGATCAATAGTTCGGCAGTCACATGTTGCCCACGGCCTTCAAGGAGCAATCCAAGAAATGGGAGTCCATCACCTTGGGGCATGTCAGCAACGCCATTCTCGTCGTTCACCACTTCATCCACGGTCTGGTCAAAGAGTCTTGCAATGATGAGCAGGTCTTTGACGCGCTCTGGTCCTCAATCCTAGAGAATCTGATTGACAAATATAAGGTGGCAATGGATCAGGCGAAGTTGTTGATCCATGTGGAGAGGGAGGGTCGCTCCATCACCTACAATCCGGCCTTTGATAGAGCTCTGAACAAGATCAAGGCTGCCAGATCTGCCAAGAAATTCGAAAATGTCAAAGTCTCTCTGGCGTTCGGATACGAGCCGGTCGATTATATCCGATACGAAGACTTGAAGAAGCAAGTTACCCACGAGAATGGCACCGGTGCGACGAGTTGCGTTATCCATGATGTCTTGCAGAGCTATTACGAGGTTGCGAGTGCCCGCTTCTCGGATATGATCTGTGCTCAGGTCGTCGATTACTTCCTTCTCGGCGCGGAGGACGGCCCTCTCAATGTTCTCTCTGCGAACCGTGTCTTTAAGATGACGGCCGAGCAGTTGGAGATGGTCGCGGGCGAAGACGCTCTGAGCAAGTCTGCTCGTGAGATCTTGAAGAACGACATCATGCTCTTAGAGCAGGGAAGAAAGGTTCTCCGCACTTGAAAGCAGGGTGTTAAGTTGAGTGTGGGGCGGAAGCCGGATTCGTTCTGCTTCCTTAAGAGATTCATCTTCATGTCGGGTAGTTGACTGCTGGGAAGAACCCGTAGGTACTTCTGGTATCGACTGCCATCACAGTAATCTCGGCTTGTCTCTTCTGCTGTCCCTTTACTTTCATGGTTGAGTTTAACCTGAAGCCTACTGTCGTAATGTCTGTCAACTGAACTGATGTCAGGCCTACAGACGAGATCGTATTCCCAATCAGGAAGATAAGTACCGGCGTAAAATGTCAAGACGTTGTGAGCAAATAAGGAAGGCGCTCATGAGACGACGTCTTGAACCCCACCTCAGGCTGATGAGCTGCATTTCATCGTAGCATTGATGCAGTGTATGAGTAAGGATGATTGGATGTCACTGTATCAGGCGGGCTGATCCGTCATCGACTTACTCGTCATACCTGGTGTCGATCAACGAGCTCGCTCTCGTTTCTTGAGAGGTCGGTTGAAACATGTCGAAGTTGGGACAAGCTGCATACGTAGGTAATCAAACATCCCGACGTTGGGCACTTGAAGAATATGGGTCTTGCACGAATCATCCCAGCTTTCAGATTTCACGTGGCCAGCATCGTCGGCATGTGGGTTGCGAACGACACTCTGTCCCGAGCTGTATGGATTGTGCTTTTGCTCTGGGACCGGGTCACTCAATCATATCAGATTATCAATCAGTTGATTCAGACCGAGGCTCCCGGCGAATCTGTGCCTCCTATGTTCTCATAGAGGCTCGGTCCCTGATCTTAGCTGTGAGTTAACCTTACTGGGAATAGACAAGTCAACCTGGAAGGTCGTAACACCGAGTCAATACAAAACACGTATTATTCATTCAACCACCATTTCATCCACCTCTTTCGGCCCCTCTAGCTCGGGGTGGCCCCTCTCTCCCTGCCGATAAGATGCGGCGAGTAAGACAACCTGAAAGCCTTCAAGGAAAGGGAAGGGATCCGCCGTGCGGTATTTTGGGGGTGGAGCTGGCAGGGAAGAGAAGCTCGACAAGGAGGAGATCAAAAAAAGCTTATGGAAGCTTGTTCCAATTCCAACGTCGCAACGACCCACGTGACTGCGCTACGATCCTGTGAGCCAGTGACAGGAGGGCCAAGAGGGGCAGTGGCACCGCTGTGGTCCGCTCCACGTTTGGGGCTAATGTCCGCCCGACATGCCGCACCCGAGAGGAGCACGCCGTGGCCCCGACTGGGCAGTGTTGAAACGTCCTCTCTTCGCTTAAGCCAGCACCAGCAAACGCAATCCCGTACCTTATTCCTCACGCTTTTACGCATACAACGTGGGCACCGGAGAAACGCCCAGCCAGTTCAGCCAGCTGTAGTACTCCGTACTCCACCCGCAGACATACCGCAGACATAAAGAAGAGGTCCAGTCTGATATACCAAGGTTCCCACGGACCATTTCCCCTGAAAGAAAACCAGGAGCGGACATCTGCCGTTGTTTCCAAACTACCTTCTTGCATACAACGGGACCAGTCAACCAGGCCACACGAGACGAAAGCACATCCCTTTCGACAGCTCCTCATTTACCCGTACCTTGCAGATACCTCACATCGACATCACATCTCCATACCACTCACCTAGACCAGCCCCCTG